ATTTTATTGAAGTAAAAATTTCACCAAATTGATAATTTCCCATGGCAAAAAGTATTCCTGGACACGTATTCTCGATACGATCTTAGCGTTAGGATGTCCTAGAATCAATGTTAGAATATAAAACCCTAGAACATCATAGAGCTAAGATCGTTTCGAGAATACGTGGCCACAAGTATAGTCAACATCGCAATTATGTATGTGGTATAACACCTATATGACTGGCGGACAGTGCTATCTTTGAGACCATTCCCCACTCTATTAGCAATTGGTCAAAGTCAGTCTGCGATTGGTTTGTCAGCTCGGCTTAGCTAATGCTGATTAATTCCTTTTTTTACTGTGTAAGCTACTATTTACTAAAAATGGACCCAGGTATGCATAATTATCTCTGCTTTACTATACATCGTTTCAATTTCTTGAAGCGAAAATTGACAGCCATGGATTATGTTCTGAACGTCGATTAGTTACTGTCGTGTCTAAGATGCACATTTCACATCCTGAAAATAGTATTTGAAACAATCTGAATTTGAGCAAACCAGAAATGCACCCACTTTGGTTTCGTAATTGACGCATACAGCATAGTATCAAACCTAACAATCATAGGGCGCATTAGGTCTAAACTGATTCTCTGAAATCTGTACCGCCAAGGCGCTGAATTACAATTACTAAACCCAAAACTGCATGGGTAACAAATGCAAAGAATTTGGTAAAGCAAATGAGATTATAGACTTGCATTTGAAGGAATTAATATGAAAAATTACCATTGAACAAAACAGTAAAATTTTCCAATTGTCTGCTTTAATGTGAAAATCACGAAATCATCTATATAATTCGTCTAATTTCAAAACATTTGGTCAGATGTATGAATTATCTATGCTCTGCCAACTTTTAATTGTCAAATTGAGTTTGACCCTTGCTCGCTACGTTGAAGATCCTAAGTTCAATTCCAATCAATTCAAGGTCGAGATGAATTTTCGGATTTAACCCGACTTCCCCTTGTCAGTGGTGTAGGTCGGAGGGTCCAACATAAAAAAGCGTCTAGTCGTGCGGATGGGGCAATAAACCGAGACCCCATGAACTACAGGCTGTGCACGTTAAAGATCACTCGACAATTGGAAAAAAAAAAAAGTAGGTTAGTGCCGCCGACATTGCAAAATTTCCCTCATTGCACACTGCATGGTGTTTCCGTCTTCATTGGCCCGTTAGGTGCAGAAAGGTAAGACGTAAAATTCATTTCATTTCAACTTCCAATTGGTGTGGTTTTCTTTAGTATGTCTTGATTGATCTTGTTCTTACTGTAATTGTTGTTGGATATATATTGTTGAACACTATTTTTGTTATCAAACATGACTGTTTGTCGTGACTGGTGATACGGATATTTCTCTGGTAAAGTAGTGATTAACTATCAACCCCGGAGATACCGGACTTATCTTTATAGTATATAATTACATTCTGCATCAGCGACGTATCACACAAAATCAAATCACATTAAGGAAACAAAGGCAGATCTCTCACATCAACATTAAACTTGTCTGAATCACTTGTCTCGTGAGACTATAGTTTTTTAACCTCTCATCTCGATTATTGTACGAAGGCGACCCGTAATTGTGAATTATACATAATGTCTCATAATAAAAATTCACTTCCAACTTGTAAGATTGTAAAAAAGGAATATAAAAAAATTCTTCCCGTTTCATTTCGTCCGAGACGAACGCTGTATATAAAATCGTGGTGACTTTCCTGCAGTGTGCTGGGAGCCGCTGTAGCTTGCTCTCTTAACTGATGGTTCATAGTAAGGATTCAACCCCAGCATGGTTCGAGATAATACATTAGTGTCCGCCCAGTGTCCATGAAATGAAATGAATGGAGTTTTACGTCCTACTTTTTCTGCACCATGTGGGCTAATGAAGACAGGCAACGCCATGCAGGGTGCGATGAGGGAAATTGTTCGGACGGGACAAAGACCCAGAAACCCATGTCCTATAGATCCCTCGTTAGTTGGGAATGCGCAGTAGGATATGAAACTCCATCCCATTTAATTTCCTTTTCTTTTATGTATGCAGATTACAGTTTTAAAGGCCCTTCACCATTTTCGAGCGTTGATTTGAGTGTTGAATATTTTATGTATATTGTCTGTAGACACTAGAAACTACAAGAACTACACGAATTTCAAATATACCTCAATGTAGAAATATCAAGTTATATGTATATTTGGCAGAGTCTCAAGAAAAGACGAGTCATCATTTATTCAACTTTCAAATTCTGATGATACTGAACACACGTGGATTTGAAGGCTCAAATTTCGACGGCAAGATGTGAACACTATTAATGGCAGATAGTCCCGTTTCTGAAACCAAGGTACGACTGGTTACACGGTTAGCAAATCTGCCCTTTCAATGCACATAAGCTGAGAGTTTTTTTTTATAAAAATTTAAACAGATAAGAGACCAGCCTTCGTCCCTAGTTCAGATTATTCTTTCGAACAAAATGAACTGTAAACTGAAAATGACAAAAAGTCCGGCGCACACACGAGCCATCAGCTCAGGCAGAATTTATTCGTGCACTTCTCCTTAAGGCGATAGCTTCCGTGTGCGGGTAAATTTATTTAAGATTTTGGTCATTGAAAATCAAACGTGTCTGATAATTTATTCCAAGAATGAACACATGGTTATGTTCTTTGGCTGACGAAGAAGTACTATCCATCAAATTCAATTGCATGGGTCATTATGAGTTGTCAAGTGAATACGCATACAGATAGCTTTAGTAACGCGCGCACACAAGCATTTGTTCATTCGTGGAAAATATTATTAAACATGTTTGATTTTTAACTTTTCGCCATGAATGACCAAAACTTTACATAAATTTACCCGCACACGGAAGCTATCGCCTTGAGAAGTGCACGAATGAATTATGCCTGAGCTGATGGCTCGTATGTGCGTCGATCTTTACGTTAACTATGTTTCAACCGGAGAAAGTAGCCTTTCTATCAACTGTTAGAGGGACAGGTTTTCGGGATTGGTCTGAGACTCAGATACGATTGTTCAAACGGATTGCGAATATGTCCCTTCAGCGCAGGGCAGTTAGATCTAGTTTTCCTTCATCTCACCATTCGGTCATCGAACTGACATAATTTGAAGCAACTGAAACAAAAGAATAAGATTACCCTGGGCTGAAACCATTTAGATAAAACTTAGGAAGATTGAACGATCTTATCTGATTAATTGTAAGAGAGATAACTACTTCTCTCGGAAATGGCTCAGGATTTTGACGATTAGAATGGATTGCAAGTTACATTTTGCTTAATCATGAAATAATGGTAATATAGTGTGGCGTGTTCTTAATTAAAAATTGAGTGAGTGACCATATTGCACGCGTGCTACCACTGTTGTAGACAGTGTATTGGCATCTTATTCGTTCATTCATTATAAGAATAGTATACATTAGCTTTCAGAACGTCGTGGCTTTTGTATTCTGTAAAAGTAAACCCAAGAAAAAGAATCAATGCATGGACGTATTACGACATTATGATTATGGTTTTATGCTTGGTCATGTTGATTTATGTGGTTTGTGCAGAACTTAAAATGAAATTGCTATTTGAATTCTTCTACGAGTCTACAATATTCAATGGCAGTCAGCGCAGGTTTTAAATAGCTTCCATGCGAATCATTTCTCTGCTAAAAAGTTCGCTGGTTAGATACTATAACGGGACTGTATTAAACAATGTTACATATACATTTAAAATTTTGCCATTTTATCAGTTCTCACCTAACGTCTAAATGGCATTGTTGGAACTCCTATGGCTTGTTTTGTCACAGACACTTTTAGGCCTCAACTGACTTTTATAACAAAAATAGTAAATTCTCAAAATTTAATATGACAATATCAATATACTACGTTTCAGAAACTCCCATAAACTAAACATAAAGTTTTAACAAAGTAAAATGCCGTCATATGACGATAGTATCTGAAAAACATGTATTTTTAAAGTCATCACCAGTGTTTCAACCACGTTGCTTTAAGAAACGGGATTTAAAAATTACATACACTACTAACACTACCACTTGTCATAACTTTCGCTCATTAATCAAATATAATTATTCAAGTACAAAGAATTAATATTCCAATAAAAAATGTCGACAGATTTCTTTGTCTTTTTGAATTACAAAGTATGGCAAATTGACGGCAATAGATTATAGTTAATTAAAGGGTATTTTCAAATTCAGATACTTATAAAATTTCGAGAAAAAAATTACCTTTTGGTCAAAAAACCAAATTCCAGTTATATTTGTACAGAAAATATCGATTAGAAACGACTGAAGTAATTCATCATAATTTGACTCAACATATACATATATATATACTATGATCCAATTAGTTCATAAGTTAAAAGTGTTCCGAGTTTGTCTGTGTTATGAATCATTCCTATTGCATAAGTAAATGCATTTTTAAAAGCACATATTATTATCACGACAGGCACATTTTACTCAAATAAATGCACATAAATACAAGTTAAGTCTAAAGCATAACAAATATGATTTTCACAAAATATCTACAAAACTTTCATGTCCGATCTCTAGTTAACCATTATCCATGAAATGGAAAAATGAATGGACGTTTTATTGAATTTGAAAACTGGAACACATCAATATATATGATATATATACACTCATATATATATATTCAGTATACTATAACGGTATTCCTTTATTATTCTGTATATATTAATTTTGTATACACACATTTAACTTATTTACAACAACCGCAAACATGTCCGGTCATCCTGTAACGATGTGTTATGACATTATTTCTCTCACAACCCACAATAATTCGACTGAAGTAAAGATATGATCACACTGTGTTGTTTTGGAATGTTTGTGACACTACATAAACCTATATTCCATAAATTATTAAAATATTGCGGATCATATCATATGTATGTAACACATACACTTGTGTGCAACTTAAAATGTGTACCATGTGCAGCCATTTAACCATCAGCAATTTCAGCGACGCTCGAAAACAAATTCGTTGTAATGTTGCCATTTCGCTTCCTCTGTATCCAATCCCGGTTTCATTTCACCTGCCCCATTAGTTCCAGAAGCTGCAGATCCAACCATATGAAATCCTTCATCTTGGAGATAATCGAAAGCTTGTTCCAAAAAAGTGTGTTTAAGGAAATATCTAGCTGAGTATCGGTCAACGCCTCCTCTATCAGGATCTCTGCTGTCGTTTAGGGTCTCCTTGAAAACTTCCTGACAAATTGAAACCTTACCACATACAATAATACGACTTAATTTTCTAAATTTAACATCAGCAAGTCCATCACGTCCAAACGCAAAGGTTCCTCTGTATCCAACAGTAACATAGCCTGGTGTCTTGCCAGTAAGAGGCAAATTGTGTCGCGAATAGTTCGTAATATTTTCGGCACTTAATGGGGAAAGTGCAGCAGATGATGGCGACCGGGCTAAGCTCAGCGCTTTCATCATATCAGGTAACTGAAAATACTCAGCTTCATATTTCAGCCTCTCTTTTTCTTGAAAATTTTCAGGCAGAACTATTTTCAGATTGCGAAGATAATCCAATACATAACGAAACAAAACACCATCTCTGTCTATGAAATATTTTCCTTTTGAATCCTTCAACACATTATTACTTGCAGAGTTCGGACCAAACATTTGAGCTAAAAGCCCAATAGGTTCTTTACATAGGGTGTCAATTGTTGTTGAATAGAATACACCACCAACGTTGAGTTCTATGATCTCAGATTTTTCCACAGAATTGGTTTTACTCGACATATTTGTAGTGAATGTTACGCTAACAGGTTAATTAAATCACAGCATGCTCCTCTTGAAATAGAAATGTTAATACTTTAGAAGCACTAATCAATATATAGTATATATAATAAATATTATTTAGTTCTCCACAATTCAATCTAACACTTGTGCTGTATACGCCTGACAATATAACATAGATTCAGTTCAGATCAAAGTAATTCACTAATGTTTTTATGAATAGAATTGTTAACGCGTTCCACTCATAAAACTAATTGAAGAAGTGTTTATGAAGTTAATTGGAATGTTATGATAGGAGAGAAATTACCAATTAAAAACGAAATTATTGCTAACAGCTGCGAGATATTCTTCGATCTAGAGGAAATTCTGGAAATCAATCCGGAGCACAGATAATGATGTATTGATAAGGACGGGCAAGAAGCTATAAAACACTGCCAGTTGAATCCTTTATCGTTTATTATGAGTTTTCTTCTGATTGGCCTAGTCTCTTCTTGGCAAGAGTAAACCTGAAATATACAACGTTTCAAATTACAATTGTGTGTAGTCTTTTTCTTTTACAAAACCACAACATCAAATAAACAGTTTTTTGTTTCACAGAAAACGAAAGATATACAGCAACAGGGTGAAACGTATGTCACGCAAAAGTTACCCGGAACGACTTGCAACAAAATTATAAAACAACCTGCCACCAACACAATGTTTATCCGAATAGACAGATCTCTAAATTTAAACGAGAAATATTGATAAAGCTGTCTATTACAGGAGACTACCTTGGTTACTACAGGCTCGTTTGATATGCTATCGATTGTTACTGCTCATGCATTAAAAACTAATCCATCTTCTTTGAAAATTGAAGACTTCTTCTCATAATAGATTTATACTTTACCAATCTCCTTCTGTAAACTCGAAAAACTTTCAAAGGAGAATGCTGTCTGCTGTGGCACTATTATCCCTTTCACTTCTCACCGATCGATTGGTATTCATGTAATCCTCTTAGACAAAAAAAAACGTCTTTTAACTCCGTTAATATCGTGTTGGTATTAGATTCTTGCCGAATAAACAGACGATCTAACTTGATTAAATTAACCTCTCGTTCTTAATTTGATGAAAATAGAATCCGATATCAGAGAGGAGAATAAACACGATATATATGTTGTCTTCTCTGTCTCTATTGTTGTACGCAAATAATTTCCATCGCCGCTACCGTTTACAAGACCTCTGGTATCATTCAATAAAGAGTAGTTGAAAACGCAAACTCAATCTTCCAACTACTGAATAGTATAACAATCCAAAAGGTGTATATAAATATAACACACGCTTTAAACTCATTGGTCGATAGCTCATCTCGTTCTACAACCAGCAATATCGTCGTCATAGAAACTCCAGGGATACAAACCTCTTCACAGAATTGCTATCATCTCTTTAAGCTTGTCTGTTCGCATCGATAGTTGCATGTTTTCTTGCTAAGACAACTTAGTCCTAATTAACAAATTCCATTTGAACAAGAATTATGTAGTTATTATGCTATACAAAATTTGGGAACAGAAAGTATTCATGGATGCTTCATATTTATCGATGTTTTGGCTACTTACTTCAAGCAGTTATTGATCAAATATAAGAAGACAAAATACGCCGATATGGTTCAAGGTGACAGTATTGTGGTTATTCACATATTTAGATTTCCTTTTATTTTGCCGATCAGACAATTACTAGTCATAATGATTTGATGCTGAAACGTCGCAAGACAAGATTGAAATTCAGGTGCCAAGATCACTTTTCGGAATGAAAATATCGAGTTTGGAGTAAAACATAGGCGAAATCAACTGGTTGTTAAAAAAGCAAATATTTACAACTACTACTCATATTTCGGGAAGGCGACGCCCAAGGTATAAGTTTAAGCTGGAACAAATAGTTTATTGAGACATTGTAAGAGTTGATCTTTGAAAGGTTATTCGATTATAGGTGGTGGAACTGTCACAAGTCATTGGTCGCTGCAAGTCTTTGTATAACGACACAGAACTATATATTGCTTTAATCCCATGCTAGAACGAACCATTTTTCATGGCAGCGAAGGTACCTAAAAATCTAAATGGTAGCATTTCACACAAGATTACACAATTCCGTTCACTGCTTTAGGTATAAGCTGTAATTTATAAATTGCTTTTTTAAATTGTAATTTGTCATGTGGCACAATCTAAAAATGTCTCTTGTTAAATAACGATAACTTATTCCTAATTATCGTTGACAATTCGTTGTTGTTTACATTCACATTATCTTGTTCGACCTAGTCACAGTGAAAAACAGCATATTTATTTATATTTACGAGGGAGGAAGAATATGACTCCAAAAAGTCTTGTTTTTAGCAAACGGTTTCTGTCAGGGTGTTTATTATTTTAAAAAGGGCATTTAGTCAAATACAGATCTCCAAATAATGGCATCAAGTACTTTGTACCATTCAACATCGGATAACAAGGTCAAGATGTCAACGCCATTTAACGCCATTTTAGTCTTAAAATTAATCTTCCACATGGCTGATATCTTTTTCTTTATCTTGTCAAATGCTACATTGATTGTAGTTACATTTGTATATCCTGTATCCAGTTGATGTGCTTTAAATATCAGGTGTCATGCTACCACAAGCAATAAGCAATAACTGCCGTCAGCTGTCTTGTTAACCTACTGGTTTATGTTTCACATTTACCATCCGTCCATAAAGCTAACCGCCAACGTCCTTCATCAGTGTGTACACTGTCTTCAGTGGCGAGTCAGATGCACAAACCAGCAAACTGCTGCAAAATGCTTTTACCTTTAGCATAAAGTCAATTTTAAATTAAACAAACCTTTTCTGAAATATTTTCACATCTGCACATCATACAAACTTGCAGGATTTTTTTACTTTAAACAGAAGTATTGCCCAATTTAAGCTTCTTAGCGATTAATTTGAACTCCACAGCAATAAGTAGACTCAATGTCGAGGGCAAACAAGATGAACCAAGAATATCTCGTACTCGCGTCACTCGGCTCAATGATAGAATGGCAAATTGGATACGACTGGTTTCTTGTAAATTAAAAAAATAATAAAAGTAAGCTTAACCAGTGACAGCAAAATGTAGTCTGTGGGTATCTTCATGACAAAGTCTTTAACACTACTTTTGAATCTCCGCCAATTGTTTTAGGAGAATACAATAGTATATGACGTGTCTGTCATCAATATAAAATGATACATACGTACTATGCTTAGGGTGCTGGGCGTGATTGATAGTATTCTGCCAATCGTCACGACAAGCGTGCTCAACCACGCTAGCTGTAATGTCGAAAGCTATGTTCCGCAAGGCGCCTCCGTATTATTTTATCATAAATTGAGGTCAAAAATTCACTCTTGCTGAGTTGCCCCTGAAGAGTTTAACTTGAACGAAACCGGTCTTGCCGTACACACCACAAGAAGGGGTGTCCTAAAGGAGACTTATTTTTCTTTCAAGAAAGTAAAAAAAAGTCAACAGAAAAAATAACCGATACTCAATTACTATAAAATGAATTTTGTCCAAATTCAAATGCAACTGATTTCCATGATGAGTTATTTGGAGTTCGTAATATTGAAAAAGAGGGCAGTTGAACCAGAGATCTCTTCTTAATGGATGTAAAAACACTTTTCTTTTAAATCTTTGTTTTATGTGGTAAGGAATGTTGAAAATATATATAAAGCAAATGTTAATAATGTAGTTTATGATATTGGGAAATATTTTGGTCTAGTAAAATACAATATAAGTATGTTATTGTAATATTTTCTATAGAAGGTTGCTAATCTACAATATAACCCTCTAGTCACGTCATACTATTGTTCTAGCGAGATTTTATATCTCATAGAGTCACTTTCATATACAATTTTGGAGTCCAAAATGCCATGAAATATATATATATATATATAAATATAAATTAACAAAATAACACCAAGATGTTATTTTGTTATTTACTTTATTATTTACTTAATTTATATACTACTGTGCATCAGAAACAATCTACTATACTATATATAAGTAACTAGGGTTGTCATCAATTATTGGTAAAATGAAAAACTTTTAATCGAGAGAACAATTTTAACTTTCAACAATATATAGTCTTATCTCAATGGTCAGCTGAATTGAATACGTTTGTAAATACGAGTTTAGATTTGGTATAATGAGAACCAACTCTTTGTCTACATCACCACTCCAACCCTCAAATGGCAACACCTAGTAAGTCACTTATAGTTTGCAGATAATTGCAACGGACGAACACAGTGGCATGGGACAAACATCAAGACATCAACGGAAGTCACAAGATGATGACAAATATTATGATATAATTAGATTTGTTAATCCTGTTCAAAGACGTGGCATACTTTTCTCACATGCCTAGATTTTCCGATATTGGATTGTAAACTGAAACACTTGTATACAATGTAAGTAAATGTAAATACATGTCGTGATTTTTGTAATCACAACATGCCAGATCAGATCACTTTACTGACACGTTTAAAACTCAGAAACAATGTCGATCACGGAACTCAGTCTGGCGTTTTCTTTAGGCTTATGACCTCATTGAATTATAAACATTTTGACTATTTATTCGATCTTACAGTGATATATTCGTCATTTTCGAGAGTAAGTCATAAATTGATTTCAAATAACGGGAATTGTTCCGCTAAACTAATCAGTCATAATACCGTCGAAACTTTTGCCTTTCTATCCATGTGTATCCGTAATGATCCATTTTTGAAAGTCGTCTTTTAAGAGATCCATTTCGAAGAATGATTTAAGACATGATAAATCAGCGACGTGAATGGTATTTTCTCCTAAAGCCATCTTTTGGAAATCCCAATTTTCAGCATTGTAATAAGCTTGTAAACAAAATATATAAAAAGTGAATTGTGTAGTTAAAGGTGTGTTCCGCTTTTACGTAATGTTTTTGAATTTTTTTTATGTTTAAAAATTAAAGTTTGGATTTTTCAGTTACAGCGTTAAAGG